TCTAAATGGTTATAAAAGAATATCTGGTAAGAAGCTGGAGTAAATGAGGAAATATTAAAGTTAACAATGGAGTTTTAATACCTGTACATGTTTTTTGTAAAGCAGCATAAGAAAAAGATCTGATAGAAGAGTAAATAAAATCAGTACAGCTCTTTTTCTGGCTGGAACCATGAAAGAGAAGAAAAAGAAGGTTCCTGCTGTGCCAGAAACTCTTAAGAAAAAGTGAAGGAATTATGCAAGTTGAAGGTAAAGTGCCTGAGGAAGAAGTTTGCCCAAAAGATGCATAAAAGGGCAAGGAGGAAGCTTATCTATGAAAGAATCAAGCATTACCACTAGGAATATAGGCAGATGTACCTAATAGGGATTCGAATGATTAGGATGGCAAAAAAAAGCTGGCAATTTCTATGTATCTACAGAATCTAAGTTGGCATTTGTCATTGGGATCAGAGGTATCAATGGTGTGAGCCCAAAGGTTTGTAAGGTGTTACAACTTCTTTGCCTTTGCCAGATCTTAATGGCACCTTCATTAAACTCAACAAGGCCTCAATTAACATGCTGAGGAATTTGGAACCATATATGGAATGGGGGTACCCAAACCTAAATTGGTGAATGAACTAATCTACAAGCATGGATATGACAAAATCAATAAGAAACAAATTGCCTTGACAGATAACACTCTGATTACTCCATGTGTTGATAAATATGGCATCATCTGCATGGATGATCTGATTCATGAGATCTACACTGTTGGAAAACACTTCAAAGAAGCAAGTAACTTCGTGTGGCCCTTCAAATTATCTTCTCCAAGAGTTGGAATGAAGAAAAAGATCACGAATTTTTGTAGGAGGTTGAGATGGTGGCAACAGGGAAGTCCAGATCAACAGGCTTATTAGAAGGATGAACTAAGGTATCTACCATGGTCAGTTAATAAAACAGTACCTGCTCTCAATATGAAAAAAAAAAGAAAATAGTACACATTTTTACTGCCAACTATGGAAATGCATTCAAAGAAATAAAATTTCATAAAATTTGGACATATTATATAAAATAAATTCCTGATTTTTATATAAAACTAAAGTCATTTTGTATTGAACATTTTTAATTAGAAGGATTTTATCTGGAGAAAACATTTATGCTTTCCCCAACGAAATATTTACTATTTCACCTGAAATCTTACTTACTTACCTAGGATATATCCTTATAAAAAAAGAAAGCCAAAATATTTCTCTCATTCCTAATACCCTCAACTTTTCCCTATCCATAATATAATGAAGTTCTTATTAGCTTTAATAATTCTCAGCAACAGAAAGGATTCACAAATTGCTCTTTGAATATATTAAGGAAGCATTCAATTATAATAACAATAATACTATGGGAAGTTACCAGTGACAATAATTTAAGCACGGTATTAAAATAGTTGAAGCTGTCAATTTGAAAGACAAAGGGGTCATATCCACTAAAATAACACCAACATATTACAAATCAGTTTTAAAGCTGTGGCTGTTGGTGTGGTTCCTGCTCACCTCCCCATCCCCAAGGACAGATCACTGTAAAAGACATTCCTCCCCACATAGTTTCTCCTGAAAAAATGAAACAGAGCAAGTACATACTTAAAATTTTAATCCTTTAAAATTTCACTGAAATGAATGCCAGAAGATTTAATTAGCATATTCAAGCATGGAATCTTAACTAAGAAGACATGTAGCTCCAAAATATTTATGAACATATTAAAGCAACAATGCCTAAAGAATGAAAACACGAGTCATTTGAAAACTCTATCATATGAGGTACAAAAACATGAATGAGTCTCAGGCTGGAGAGTATCAGAAGGTAGAAAACATCATTAATGGACGCTCCTCACAGTGGATTATGTATTGTGTGCATGTGCTTATATTTGTGTTTTCATGAGAGCAAAACAGCAGATTTTTGTTGGGAGAAGAAAAGCACAACAATTTATGTAAAATGTAGCCTTTATTAAGAATTTCTTTCTTATTGCCAAATTATAAGAGTTTTCTCTGTTGGACTGTGTCTACACATAATGAACAGTGGAGTGCAGAAGAGAGAAATAAGGTGATTCATTAAAGAAAAAAAATTAAATCCACAAACAGATTTAAAATTCTCTCCTCGGTGCCTAGTTTACTGTCTGGAATGATAGAATTTGTGTTCTTCCTGGCCATCTCAGGATTTAAATAATTTTATGTGACAGAGGTGATGTGTTGATCAATAAAAAGACAACAATCATTTACACTGAGAGTTGAGTGCAATTTTAAGAATCTGCCATAACCAAGCTGAGCTTTTGCAGTGGAATCGATACACAACCACCTTACCTAGTGAAATGGGTAAATGAAGTACGACTGAATTTTCAACACCAATGAATATGGATCAAAGAAAAATCAAATCAATTGAAAGAATGGGTTTTGGAAATCGCACAATGACGCTATTCTTGAACACATAATACCGTGCACTTTCCAGGAAAGCAAACAGATGTTCGCTTCCATTTCCCCTCTTTCTTCTAGTATTTATTTATCTTATCATTTGGAAAATGCTTTCTTGTATTGCAGTTTGATTACATGTGCATTTTGCACATTTCCAGATGTGTTCAAATGTTTTCATCCACATTATGGCTTTATATTTTAGGTCCATATGATTCTCTAATCAGAGTTCTTATGTCTCTAAACATTAAATGAAATTGAGGATTTTAATATACCCCATTCAAGTAGAGGGGACTGTGGATTTTTTTTTTCCAAACTAGTCTTTCTAGATATCCTGGTCTGCCATCTTTTCAATAGATAATCAGGCCTATTATGTTGCACTATATAATGAATTCCTTGATGAGAACACTCACTTATCTGTGAACAATACAAAACAAAATTAAAAAAAAAACCTTAACAGGTTGAGATAATTTCATCTCTCAAATTTGAGCCAAGTTAATTTACCTACCAAAGATAGGCGTCCTTCCATAAAGGCAATCCCTGTAGTGGGTTTTCCTATAAAACTTACTGAATAGTGACCCACAATAATTGATCTTGATCCCAGTATTACAAATCTGGATGATAAAGACAAATAACACATTTATTATCTCAAGATGCTAATGCTGTGGAAGAAGGTAATATGAATGCATAAAGCAAAGTGACCCTGAGAAATTCAAAGAGTCAGTAAGAAGATGATGCTTAATTGAGGAAGAACACTGATGAGCTTGGAAACGAAGGTGTTGGACTAACTATAGAAAATAGTGTGACACTATAAACCCAAATTTTGGCAGAATTTAGAGAGGTGGACCTGGTGAAATGATTAAGCATCTGCAATGAAAGTCATGCAATCTGAACTCTGACAAGCACTTGAATCATTTTTTTTTAATAGACATAAAAACAGAAAGCCTGAGGACATCTACAGCTAACTAGTAAGGTCCCAAAGTCTCCAAAAGCAACTAGAAATGTATAAAAGTAAACAACAAAATAATGTCTTAGCAACGTTTATAAGACAAAAATTGAATACCATTTTGGAAGGCACCCGATGCTTTCAAAAGATAGAGGAGGGGTGGGAAGAGGGTAACACAGACTGCCCGAAGAGAAATTACTTCAAAACTTAGAGTTGGAAAGATCTATGCAAAGACGTGGATGGAAATCTGAGTGAAAGAGTTTGAAGGTAAGTGTAGCAAGAATAGAAAATGTTTAGGAGGGTTCTGTATAAGAATAAAATATAGCAGGGAATAAGCACCTGTTCTTGAGAGATGGTTAGGATTTCTGTGTCTTTCAGTTTGGAGGCGTTGAATCTGAGAGACCTCTAACCTTTCGTTTGCTTGTGATTCCAACTCCTGTACTAATGACCTGTTATTTCTAATGCTGGGCAACCATTAGGTTGGTCAGAGAAAAAATGAAATCCCCAAGGCTATGTTCAGAATATAAATGTTCATTTAATGAAAATTCAGCATGTTAAGTGAACAAAGGGTAAGGAATTTTTTCAAATAAAACTTTGCATGATTCTATCCTAACATGACTTCACTATCAACTAATACTACTGTTTTTATTTTGACTTTATGTATAAACTTGAGATTATTTTATCAAATACAAAGATGTCCAACTGTTTGCACTATGACACTGCAGTGAAAATTTCATCTAATACACCCAGGTTTTAAAAAGCTCATGAAATCTGGGTTCACAAAAGAATCCAGAAAGAAACCATACACAGCCTGACTTGTGAATGTAAAAGTTTCCTTGGAGTATGCTCTTGAGAATAATAGATAACTTTGAATGGAGTCTATTCTGATAAGACAACTGTAAAATATCTAAACCCCTCTGAAGCAAGTAGAAATTTCATTTATATAGATTAATGAGCTTATGACAGGTCCACACTTGAGAGTTATCGTAGCATTTCTTTGCTCCTTCCTAGGAAGAATAAATTTATTTTATTCATTCACTGTAAAAGTTATACTTTGTAATTTCTTGGCTATATAAATCATAATGCAATGAAAAATTGGGCCTAGATGTTGGTAATAAACTTAAATCTGTTCAAATAAGGACTTTAGAATGTTCTTTCCAATTATCTGTTTCCTTTAAAAAATTATACATTGAATATTCAATTGAAAAAGAAGCCAATTGACTGAAAATTAAATGACATAAAACCCAAATGAAAAAATAAACATTTTACTTAAAAATAGAGTTCTGGACAAAGATGTCACTTGCCCTTGGGTAAACATATTTCAGTAAGCAATTACCTTCTGGAAATAAAGCTACCTCCAAAAAAGACTGGGACTTTGTTCCTTATCTTCAAAAGAACAACACACTTGTTTCAGAATAAATCCCTTCAAACAATACTTGACCACCTTACAGTGAAGACATTTCATTTTCCTCACTTGTTTCTTTTAATTAGAGCAAATAAAAATATAGGTTTACATGCTGACTAAGGACAGCAAAGTTCTACAGAACACTTTGGGGAAATGAATCAACAGGATTTTAGTTTTCTTCTCTCTAGAGCCAGCCTACCCTCCTTCTGCTCCGTACCTGACAGGTGCGCCTCTGCTCTGTGCAGGTTTCAGCATGACTGTCACTGTATTGTCAGTTTGGTTCAAAGGTGTCTCAAGTTCATAGGCTGGCATAGATGGTGCTGGGGAAAAGGGCATAAGAGGGAAGACTCATTATTTCTGGTTGGTTGCCTCAGTGAACTTCTTACTTTCTTTTACAACAACAACAGCAAAAATAAATAAATAAATAAGAAGCACAGGGCATCTCATTTAAATTGCAGCTATCACCTGACTATTAACAAGCTCATATTGACTGACCCCTCTGATCCTGAGTGGAAGTTGGGAGAGGATCTGAGGGGGTTGTGAGTGTTGGTGACGTTTTGCTTCTTCATTTGGATTCTGACTAAATGTGTATAGTATGCTTTTGAATACTCATCAAACTGTATACTTAGAATTTACATGCTGTTTTGTAAAAAATGTTGTCTTCCATAAACCATTTACTTAAAAGGCATAGTTAAGTTTTGAAATAAGCACTAGGATCATAAAACTGAACTTCACAGGTCTTTCATTTAAGTAAAAGTTTCCCATGTACCAACGACCCCTGGGGAGGGGCGTTAACCCATTATGTCCCACTGTCTTATATGTGACACATCAATAAAAACTTAAATCAAGCAAGATGTCCTATAATTTAGGTGTCTTATATATATGAAGATGGGACATAATGGGTTAAAGTAGATAAGGGGAAGACATTGAAACTGAAGAAAGAAAGGCTTGGGTTTGACTTTTTGTTATGTTTTGTTTTAACCAAAGCTTATGCACATTAATCACCTCTGAAGCTTCAGTTTATTATGTATCTTTGAACGTAGAGGAAATGACCCTATGTTCAAAGAGACAACAAGAGAGCACACCAGGCAAACATAATTCTACAAATTTTAGCTCTCTTCCCAATGTGAATCCTATTTCCAAGGCCATTTTCTGGCATTCTTTTTATTCTAGGTTGCTAAGTCTCACTACAATAAGATAGCAACAACACTTTTTGGTAATTATGTCCCCATCCTGGACAAGACAAATCATTGCATGGAGCTGTGACATGGAGGGACACAGCTCTCTACCACCCACAGGTAGATATGTCTGATAAGGTAGTGGGAGACTGTTTCTTACAAATGCAGTTTTAAAATTCATCTTAAATATAAAAAAGCTTTTATATAACAGACACAAGTTATTTCTCAGTTTCATCTATCACATTTTCTTAACATTCAAATTTGACACCAATTCCATTAAAAATTAACTCCAATCCACATCACAGAATTACATTTTGTATACAAGTGGTTTTCTGAGGTCCATGAAAATAGAAAATAGGGCCCATAAACTAGCATTTTAATTTAATAAAAAACAAATAGTATTCCTGATGAGCCCACATGTCAAGGGTGTTTTTTTTTTCCTTGTGTGTGTGTGAGTGTGTGTGTGTGTGTGTGTGTGTGTGTGTGTGTATTTTTTGCTTTTGGATTATGAACTTTTGAACTTGGTATATCAACAGTGGTCAAACTCATAATTTTTAGTTAATAAATATAGGGAAAATAAATTTTTTTTCTAAAAGGATATCCTCCTTAAGATAATAATCTTTGAAAAATGGTTTACACTAGGAAAAATATTTAAAATTACTTGGGAGTTTTTCATATGGGTACATAAATGGCAATAAATTGATGGGCTAGATAATATTATCTTAATTCATATGTAAGGGTAAATTCACTTAATCTAGGTCAGAAAGGAAGTCTATGCAAACATCATAACTAAAACCCAAATTTCCTGATTCCAACCAAGTCCAATGGTCTACTTGATCATTTGCATAACCTGTGTTATTTTTGAACCTCTAAGGTGGATGTCTTTTCCAACACTGTATTGGTCCTATAACCTAATGTTTTATACTAGAAATCAAATGTGCATTAAATTTCAACTCAAGTTTGCTTATATAATAAAAACGTTTCCCTTAAGTTATAACTGCTTCAAAACAAAATTCCAAACCTTGGCCTCAGAACCCAACATAACGCTTTACAGTACTCTAATTGTGGTATTCACTTCCTTCTATTCCAAATACAAACTTTCATTGAGTTAGAAATAAATGTAGAAATTAGACTAAATATTGTTGATCTAACCCTGGCTGATTTAAAGAGTCACTTCCCTCCCCCATCTCTATCTCATCTACCCCCTCAAAAGACAGTCAAAGTCAAAACTCAAATACTTCCCCATACCCAAAGGAGTTAACAAAATGAAAGAAAATGTCCATGGAATTTAGTTTTATTGTGGTTACATATCCCATACCAGATGGCAATTTCATTTCCTCTAGACTGAAGTAAAAAGACATTTTCTGCACAGTTGAACATGCCCAGAAATATTTCTCAAATTATGACTTTGGTTGGATGGGGTAGCTGAGTCTCCAAAAAACCTAGAGGCCCTAAGAGCCTCATGCCATCTTAGTTGTTGCCTCTTTAGGATGTAAACCTACTAAAGGTGAAGGTCCTGAGGGAGGCTGATCCCTCTGGAAGCAGATTCCATATGACACTGCTTTCCCACTCAACTCTCACGACAGAGATTTCACCAGCAAGGCTTTTCTGGTTGGTGACTTGCGATTGGCAAGGAGATGGATGAGACAGAAACTTGTGCCTCATATTCAAGTCCTCCCAGGCACACTACTAAAATAGCAGCCACTTCTTACCTCATGAGGACTTTAAGCTCCCCAATGATAAATATTGATAGCATTTCATTTAATTCCATGTGCCCGGGTTTCACATGAATAAAATGTATTAGTCTGTGTGAGCTCTGCATACTTGACAATGGGAATGGAGAAGTATAATAATGTTACTTCTGACAACAGGCATAACTCATGAATGCAAAATACCTGATATTTTGGTGGTAAACTGGTTTGTTGCTGGAGGCCCAAAACCCTTAGCTGTGCTTGCTCGAATGGTGAAGGAATACGTGGTCCCCGGGTATAGTCCGAAAAACAGAAAATGGGTTTCATTTCCCAGTTTTGAAACTCTTCCACTTTGATTGGATAAATCTATTTCTGGGTCAAAGGAACTGACTGCTTTGTAAGTGATCTGCAAAAGAAGAAGAATTTGATAAAATATCTGGAGCAGATGGACCCAGATTGCGACTTTATCCAATAAGCCCTTCTGATGTATGCACTGTCAGACCCTTTATGATAAGCTCTCCTCTTCACTAGACTCTTCAAATCCTGAATGCAGTGAATGGATGCAGGAACTCAGCCAAAACTGTTATGAGTTATTACCGTTATAGACAGAGGAACTCAGAGCCAGTAGATTAGAATGTAAAGGATGGATTCATGTTTAAGCTGATACCTTGAAGTTATTTGCTTTCAAAATGTCATTTCTGTAGAGCTACATAACAGCTGGTTTAGAACCAAATAACAAAAGAGACAACTAGCTCAAACAGACAAGGCTCTGACAAGCATAAGGCCTCATCTCTAATCTAGTGGCCATGATTTGATTTAGCACTGAATAGGATTATTGTCTACTGGGAACAAGGACACATTTAAGTGTTTTCATCAATGTAGGAACAGAGATCTGCTCCAAAAATAAATCCTAGATGCATGCCAGGAGTTGCTGATGCTGCAAATGGAGTGCTCATTATGGGCCATACTCATTTATTTGTTTTTTCAAAGAAATATTGTCCAAAAGAACTTTCTACCACCATAGAAATGTTCTACTATGCCCTGTTCAATGTGGTGGCCATGTCACATGTGGCTACTGAGCACCTGAAATGTGGCTATTGAGTCTGAGGAAATGAAAAATCCATTTTATTTAATTTAACGAACTCAAATTTCGGTTTAAATTGCCACAACTGACTGCTAGCTGCCATACTGGAGAGTGCAATCCTAGATATTTTCATGTTTGCTACATAACAGATATCATGCTGGATGAGTCTGGAATGTTTGAAAATAAATATAACATAGGTACCTTTAAATTTTGCCCTTTCAAGTTATTTTTAAAAAGAATTTCAGCATGAGTAGTTCATCAACTATTCAAGAACAAGTACTTTAGTGGTGATTACTAGCTTCTACTGGTTGTAATGACATAATTTTCAAATGTGGCATATTCAAAAGTTTTAAATTGCAAAACTGAGCACTTTTCTCATGTGCTTAGGTAAACTTACTTATAATTTATGTGCATGAACACTAACACTGTTATTATACGAAGTGATAATTGACATTCTTTCTTCTTATATTTATACCATGTCATTATAATTAAGAAGACCTCTCAGAAAGAATATTTAGATTGAATCAAGTGAGCTTTGGCAAGGAAATGTTTACTGTATATATTAATCACTGCAAAGTATAACTCTCTTAGAGTCAGGCAGAAGATATGTTGTTAATCCTCTAAAAAATATCCCTCAGGAGATTAAGGAAGTCAGGAAGAAACAAGACCCTATCTATAATGAAGGAACCTCAGTATCATATCCTCTGTGTGTGTGTGTATGTGTGTGTGTGTGTGTGCATGAGCTTGCTTGCTTGCTTGAGTAGTACTTTGTTCTCCAATTCCCAGAGAAGGGGGCAGCTCAGGGAGGCAGATCTCAACAATGATAGTATAATTGCTGCCCAAAGTCAATTTATGCATTCATTCACACATTCAGAATGTGTTTGTTGTGTGGCCTACATGCCAAGCACTGTGTTCTGAGTCATGGTGAACTGTATGGTGACTCATACACTGTACCTTCCCTGGAGGGAATAAACATCTGGTGAAGGGAAGGTTAAGGTAATCCATTAGCTACTATGCAGGAAGAGTGAAATAAGGACTAGCACTATCCTTCAGGGCTGTGTAAGTCTTCTCCTTCATTTAATCACCTTGACTAGAAACTTGAATAGACACTATGCACACAGAACAAAGTCCAAACTCCTTTGCTTGGTGTTTCAAACTTGCTTTCATGTGCTTCTCCAAACTCATTTCTGAATACATGATACTGCTGCATTATGTTACCCTCTGATTTTTAAGGAGATGAGCCCCCAACACACTTAGGGGGCTTTTCTGATACTGCTTTTGCTCATATACTTTTACCTGCCTGAGAGAGGAAACAGTCACCTCTGTGAGATTTACCTATTCAGTTTCACTGATTCCACTCACACACTGATTGCGTAGAAGGACTCTGCAAGCATGGTGGCCTGTGGGTAGGCCAGACCTACTTTAGGAAGCTAACTATCTGGATAATGTGTGGGGGAGCTGGGGAGACCTACAATAAGTAAATTAATAATTCTATAATACAAAGAATAGAAGGAGCAAACGGTGGTAAGATAAAAGACTTTGTTGGAAGAAAAGGGTCCATACACAGCCATTCAGACTGGCTGGTGAAACTGGTGTCAGTGACACCGAGATCTGAACTTTATGCAGGATCAGTCAGTTTGTGAATTTGGAGAATAATAGCATGGATGAAGTCCATACAACAGAATTGTGCTTGCCCCAGGTAATGATCAGACAGAAAGCCTGTGTGGTCTTTGGGGGCTAAAGGAGTACACAGGGGCTATCCCATGCCTAGTTTTGATCCCCAAGATTAAAATTTTGGATACATACAATGGGCAACCTTTGAAATATATACATATATATTTGTACCAGGGATTGAACCACTTAGCCACTGAGCCATGTCCCCAGATCTTTTTTTATTTTGAGACAGGGTCTCACTAAGTTGTTGAGGCTGGCCTCAAACTTGCAATCCTCCTACACCAGCCTACAAAGCTGCTGGGATTACAAGCATTGTGCCACCATGCCTAGCATCATTTGAATGCATTTAAATTGGCAATAAAATAATCTGCCTTTCTTTTATCACCTTGGATATATATCAATCATATACACATATATGTATATGTACACACACACATATTTAATATAACCTTGGATGAAAGTTTTATTTTGATTGAAGGTGACAATAAAAGTAGAAGGGAGACCACTAGGAACTATGCCAGATTGGGAGTAGCTTTTAAGAATACAGGAGAGAGGATACTGTGGCTTCTACTACGTGGGGTGGAGAAAGCAAGAAATTAGTAGTGTTGGCATATTTTAGAGACAAAATAGAATTCAATGAAGGACTGGATATGCAGAAAAGAGGGAATAATCAAGAGTAGGTAACTATGTTTCAGGCCTAAGCAAAAAGGTGAACCCATTTTTGGAAATGAGATGAAATGAATAAGAAGGAATTTACAGATGGATGTGGACATGTCAAGTTTGAAATGCCTTTGACAGTCAAGTTGACATATGTGCATGACATGAAAATACAATTTGAGAGAGGGCTAGGTGGGATAGAAATAGAGACCTAGAGGTGTTCAGCATTGCAATAATGTTAGGATGGTTTAGAAATGGGTGCAATCACAGGGAGTTCAGAGAAAAAGAAGGAGACCCAGAACCATGCCCATGCAGGCAAAGAGACAGAGAAGCCAGAAAAAAGTGAAATGACAGAGAGGAGAGAGAAGGAAGAGAGAAGGGGGGGGGTGCAGGCGAGCATGAGCATGAGTGCATTCTTGTTAAAAAAAAATTTAAAAGAAAAAGAGACAAAGTGTTTCAAGAAGGAAATACTTTTAAAGATGTTTCTGGGAATCAGGCAAGACTGGGACAACAAAGTGCGCATCCACATCTCTAACCAGAGTCCCAATATTCCTTATCTGTAAAGCCATCCTAAGTGTAGCCTACCAATCATGCATCAAACACCCACCCACTACTGATGTTGTGTTCCTAAACTTCATTTGGCAATGAGTCATGGAGTGCTGTAAAAATATTTTGTTTTAGTCTTAAATCAGGAGCTAACTGTCAAGGGATCAGAACGTTTCATTTAATTTTATCTCCTTTCTGAGGAGTGACATGTTTTATCCTCGTTTCTGATTCCACTGTGATCAGTAAATATTTGGCACTCAGTATATATTTTCCTAAAAAGACTCCTGGGATGTGCAGGTGTGTGTGTGTGCACATTTGCTCCTATAAACACACTAGTACAAGCAGGTCCTCACTGTACCAGCACAGACTATAAGCAAATGCTTTATTAAGGGGATCACTGCTGCTTGGGGAATGGGGGTTTGTATCCACCCATGGGCACAGAGTAGCAGGATGTGCTACACTGGTGGATCTTCATTTTTAGTCATGGCCCTTACATGTAGATCCTCTTTCCCTGTCCCTGCAATATGTATATATAGAATAATTCATGCTCTCCTGAAATTACCAATCTTCTTCCTCATCCCTAACAAGTGTGTTGTACATATCTGTACACATAAAATTTCAGAATGCCCATGGATCCCCCTCTCCCAAACCCCTTCGCAGAGTCTGGGAGTCCAAATTCCAAGAATGAAAAACAGATCTTTAGGAAAAGAACAACCAATTCTACTTCCTGCCATAGAGATAAGTCAGTGAACAGCTAAGGCCTGGGCAGCAATTTTCAAGGCACCAAGATATACCTCCACTGTCAAACCCACATGTGTCACATTCTGCTGGAATTTGTTTCTTCACTTATTCATTCAATAACTGTTTATTAAGTGCCTATTAGGTACCAGGCACTGGAAACAGCAGCAGGAGTCTCACAGAAGGAAGGTGTAGGAAAGTTTTTACACCTGCACCAAGCTGCTGTCTAAGGATGGAGAAAATTTTAATGAAGCCTCTTTAAAGAAACCTGATGGTCCCATGTTGCATCCAATGTTATGGGACGTACCAAGATGAAAGTCCTGATACATACACAACATGGTGGAGGGAGGGGGGATTTAAATTTAGGTGAGGTGGAATGATCTGTTGTTTATTTTTGGATGATTTCTCATTTGCAGGTAAATGCCTGATATTTTACCAAATTATTTTCTCCTTCTCTCCTTAAAGTCTCAAATTTTAACCAAAGAGTTTCATAGAGAACCAAATGTAATGATGTTTTAGGGAATTAAAATCATCCAGAGCATGAGATGATAGTAATTGCAGCCAGTGTAAAATATAGACTTTTCATTAAGGCCTAAGCAATTTTCTCTGTGAACACAAAGAAATGAATAATTAAATCTGATTTCAGTGGAGGAAAATACTTATAACACTTCGAAGGAAAGTATAGTATTTGAAGGACATACTGAAAGATCAGCAGATGTACCATTGGAGGAGAGTGGAGGGGTGGCATAGGAGGACAGAACATATCAAAAGAAGAGTGGTGTGAGAATTCAGAAGGTTCTAGGAGAAAGGAAATTTTTATACACATGACTCACTAAATTTCAGGAGAAGAAAATTGAAGATGAAGTAATAAATATAAAGTGGAATTAGATCATGGGAGGCATTGAATATTGGAAGAACTTTTCTTAAAATGGCCCCTAAATTATCATTACTTTTACATTATTACCTATTCCAATCCATGATGATTAAATTAGCCCTGTCCCCTTACCTCCAGGATCAATCAGTCCCAATCAACTGACAATTTCAGACTAATCCACCCTCCTTTACCATGTGCCTGAGCAAAACTGCACTTTAGATGCTATTCATTTGTGAAAAGAGCACCTAACTTTAAAACTTATTTAATTCTTTCTCTAGTAAGTTGCTTATAGGAAAGTTACTTCTAGTAGAGAAAGGACAATATCTTTTCTATTTTTGTCTCTTCCTGTATCTTACACATTTGAAATATTAAAAACACACCCACAACATGTTGACCAGTAGTGCAGAATTTACTAATTAGGCAATCAAGAGATATACATAATAAGGTTATGAGGCATAATGCAAATACGTGGACATATATCCTTGTGCATTTGGAAGTATTAATGACTTATAAATTTCTAAAAATAGGCTTGATACATAATGTTCAAATTTTCATAGGAACTCTCAACTTGCCTACAAAAGAGGTTGCAAAATATATGCATGTACACATTTATCATGTCACTAAGACTTGATATTATACAAAATTAAATTTTCTGTATACTTGTTTTACTTCACTGTTTAATCATTAGTAAGGTTGGATAGGCATATTACCATATACATGCATGCCTGCCAGATTTTTTTTAGTTGCCCTCTCTTGTTCTTTGTTATTTTCTAATTTTTTCTTTTACTAATAAATTTGTATTGACTCTACATTTTACAGCTGCTGGACTGTTAACACAAAGTGTTGGATATAATTTCTCTAAGTCTTCTTTTTGTATTTAGACTTTTATTCCTTTATACATTCATCATTTGTAGTTTAAAATCTTACATAACCAATCTGCTGATTTTAAAAAAAAAATGGCTTCTAGGACTCTATGTCAAGCTTTGAAAGACATGTTACAAAAATGTCCTCCATATTTTTCTTATTATGTTCTTATAAGTTAAATTTTTGTGTTTAGTTCATGAATCTATGTAGTATTTATTTTTGCTTAATGTTAGATAGGGTTCATATATGGCATATGATTTTTGTAATTAAATGCTAGGTTTACTAATATTTATTAATTTACATTCACCTCTATTCATAAATAAACTTGCATATAGTTTCTTCCTTTTAAAATTTTTGGAATACTTGTGTCTAGCTGTTAAGAGTAGTTACTTCTTAAAAGTAAAACTGAGAAGCAAGAATATTTTGTTTCATATAATTCTTATTTAAAACATTCTTTCAGATAACAGTATTTCATTTATAACTTGACAAAATGAGAGATTTTGATTTTATTGGGGAAGGATGTAAACACTAGATCCAGTTTTTAGGAAGATAAATCTGATAAAACTCAATAGCTGAAGTAGGAAGTCAAGTATGAGAAGAGCTAGAGCCAGGATGATGACTAGGACAGAAACACATGGCTATTTTGGTGAAAAACAAGAATAGAAGTTAAAATATAAAAGAGAGGTCAAAGAATAAAACTGGAAAAACATTGTACATTGACATAACTTTTGGAGAAAACAATGCTGTTAGCATTTTTCTATCATCAATCCTTTGGTATGTCCTTCATAAGATGCACAAAAAGAATCCAGGTATAATCTAAATATAACATATTCATTTATATCTATAACAACCAATCTGTTTTAACTTCTGACTTTAAACCATCCAAGTGCATTGCCTGCTTTAAAGAGACACTTGTGCTAATTATAACAAAAGTTTTTCCAATCATAATGATTTATTTTTCCTTTCCCTCTTTACTTATATTCAAATGGGATAGAATCCACTGTTACTACTCCCTACATCTTTTAAGGCAACTGTTTGGATTTCTTGACATGATATCTGTCCCTGAAGACTAAGATCCTCCAGAGATGGGACCAGTCTGGATCCATACCAATCTCCAGCTCCAGCAGGATGCTACGTATTTTGCAGCTTCTAGCATAGGCTGAGGGAATCACAGTATACAGGTGCCTCTCTATTACAGAAGGAGCCCACCTAAGGCCCACCACAAAGAGTCTGGAAGTTTCCTTCTTTCCTACTTCTAGAAATGGGGTGGAGGGGAGACAGAAAGATTTAGTGTCCAGAAAACTTATATTTAATCTCTTAAGCCTGATTTATACATTTGACATTTCCCCCTTTGGTTCCCTTAAAAATGAGCCAACCTGCTCTACTTACAAATATCTGATTTTTAAAACCTTGATTTATGACACATTCATGCATCCCCATTGTACCAGCATTTAGATCAGTGTTCAACTGGGAGATCCTGGCTGCTGAGTCAGAGAGATTAATGGGCTTTTCCTTTGAATTATTATTATTCCTGCTGTTTTCATGGTAAAGTTACTTATCATACAAAGATAAATGTCCAGTGGGATTTGAAAGAAAGAATCTTGCTATTACTTTCTGACAGTATAGATAGCAACATGTGGCTTTTATAACAGGTGAACTTACTGCTTGGATCTTAAAATACATTTCAAATACTGTGCCTTTGCCAGTTAAAAAAAAATACAAACCTGCTCTTCTTAGGTGAGAATCCTCAAAACTGAGGTCTAAAAATGGTCATAGGGTCACAGATATGGACTAGAGAAATCTTTTCTCTAAGAAAAAAATTCAAAGTTGTTTGATGTGATTATAAAACTTAGCTCCATAAAAGCTGAGCCATGAATTTTTCATAACACTCAATTCTTTTAAAATAAAGCAGCCAATGAACAAACATCAACATTAACAGCATAAAATTACTTCTTTTCTTTTATCTTTCTTCATTTTGTTTTCAATTATTTATTTATTTTGCATTTCAATACCAATTTTCAAAAGACATAGGGAAACAAATTTGAGGCTAGTAGGGTCAGAGAAGAGGTTTACTGGTGATGACTGTCTGACAGCTCATCTGCACAGGCTTTTGTCAGAAGTTCTGAAAGGTATTCAGGCAGAGGTTCCATATGAGAATCTGCCATGATTTTTAGAAACCTTAAAACATATAATTTTGTTGAATTTGCATTCAAATAAATGCTAGCTTTAAAAAACTGTACCTGCTTGTTTCTATGACAATAGGCACAGTGAAATGATGCTCGAAAGATGTGATGAGGAATGTCACCCCATTATTGCTGTGATGTTTCCCTTGAATTCATTAAATTCTGCTCTGCTATCTATCACTCCACCATTTGATATGCCTCAGTAGACAAAACCGTGTCAGTGAAATCTAACAAATGTTTTACTAATATTAAGAAACCAAATGACATTATTCTATGGTTACTCCTGATACAATTCTTTATTGACTTTGCTAATTGGACAAACAGTGTTCTTCTATAATTGAGTAGAAAAATATTTCACAGCTAAGCAAGAATAGGATTTAGTGTTTGCCTTATAATCAATGTATGTTTCAAAATACTCTGGTTTATAATACAAATGACTTTCTAATAAGTTATGTTGTCTTTATATAGTAACATACAATCCCCAAATATCCAACTTATTTTCAATATGCATTTTTAAACTGCCATAATTAAAAAAACTTATTAAACTTTTTTGGCTTTTATATAATAATTATAATAACTATAGAAAGCATTGAATTTCTCCAAAGGCATTGTGCAATTACATGTATATTTTAAATAGTAGGTTATAAGAAATAATACTGAAAAATTATATTACCAACAAATATATATATATACCTCATATAAAGTGATAACACCATAAGTTTGAGTTGGTTCTCTCCATTGAAGAAATATCTTCTCTTCAAAGGTACTTCCTTGGATGGATTCAGTAGGAACCGCACCAGGGACTAAAGGAGAGTGGGGAGAAATTAATATGTGGCAATAAATTAGCCCCCACCCTCACCCAGAGTAGGGTTTAACCCTTTATTGAGACATTGATTTTTAATGGTCTATATATACAGTCAGATTTATTCTCAACATATAAAATCTAAAGCCATTTTAGCTACACTGACTTTACAAAAACAATTTATCATTTTTTCATTAAAGTTTGAGTTACTGGGGTTGTGGCTCAGTGGTAGAACACTCACCTAGCACGTCCACATAAAAATAAATTTAAAAACTAAAGGTATTGTGTTCAACTAGGACTAAAATACATAAATAAAAAATATATAAATCTCAGTATCTTTTAAGTAAACATTTTGTTTTTCATTCTTCCAATACAAATGAAGATACGGAACAATGAAAGTCAGTATATACTGCTTGTGGGAGTGTAACTTGGTATAGTCAGTTTGGAAAATAAGTAATGTTTAGTAAAATTAAAATGCACAGACCAGACCATAATGCCCCCAAAAAACAACTTCTGGGTAAATTCCCTGGTAAAATTCTTGTACATATTTACCAGGAGATATTTGCAAGAGACACTAACATAGCAGTGTCTTTAATAAGTATAATAATAAAAATAATAATAATAATAAAAATAAACTGAAAACAAACCAAATAGTTTAATAAACTGTGTTTAGTTATATGATAAAAGGCTAAAAAGATTGAAAGTAAATGACTTATCTACATCATCACAGATATCTCTTAATATTGAGTGAGAAAAACCACGTTAAAAGGGATATATATGAACTACTGAAATATATAAATACACACAAAATGGAAGCTGATTAAATAACAATAGAGGTTTTAAAAATTATTTAATTTCTACTATGTGAGAAAATTCGATCCTATTTTTTAAAAACCTAAAATATGAAACATATTTTTGCAAGGAAATCTAATTGACATAGGAAAGATGGAATATTTCTTGGCAATTCTCTATAAAATAAGATTTATTATTATTATTTTTCAGTATTATTTCTCATCATCCTTTTACATTCAGCCTCTGAATATACTTCTTTCATATGCAATTAGTGTACTGGTATGTTCATCCTGCTAACAGGCTGTCTATACCATTTACAAATATATATATTTGGGGGTGCATGAGTAAATTGTTGGATGATGGAGAAAGTTATTCAAAAGTGGCTAGAGGGAAGTCGAAATTTACAACAAATCTACAATAATCAAAACAGTATGGTTTTAGAATAAGGCAGATATTCAAGTTAAAGGAATAGAACTGACAATTTCAGAAACAAGCCATTATGTTTATAGTCAACTGCTTTTAATAAGAGCACCACAAAATTCAATGAGAAGAAAATGATCTTTTTAACAAATGTGCTGGCACCAATGGATCACTACATACAAAAAATGAGGTTGGATTCTTCTCTCATACTATTCATAAAATAAATAAAACTAATTAACAAGCTAAATACAGGAACTAAAAACAAACAAACAAACAAATACTCTTAGAAAAAAACCCATTGGTGTAAATCTACATGATCTTTGCATTAGGCAAGGATTAGATAGGACACCCAGAGCAGAAGCAATGACATAAAATATCAATAAAATATACATCATTAAAATGGAAATTTTTTCATGCTTCAAAGTGCAATACTCAAGTGAAAAGACAACAGAGAGTGGGAGTTTTTGCAAATCATATATCTGATAACAGACTTGTATCTACAGTATTATAAAGACCTTTAAAACCTAATAGTAAGAAAATAACCTAATTAGAAATGGAACTCCCCATTTCTCAATATAAAGTTCTCCAAAGGAATACAGATAGCCAATCATCATGTGAAAAGTTATGCAATATCTTTAGCCAGTAGGAAACGGAATATTAAAACCACAATGAAACATTACCTCGCACCTACTAGGATTGCTGAAATTACAAGAAATATGATAACAAGTGTTGGTAAGATTGTGATGATTTGAGAATCTTATTAAAGGCAAATAAGGTCAGAAGTATGAGAGTAATATGGGTGGAAGGGCTAGAGAAATCTTCATGCCAGACTTGAAATGAGAAAACTTTAAAGGGTAGAGAAGAGATAGACTTGAGAAATATTAGGTAGAAAAGATATTAGCCAAGAAGAGCTGGGAAGGGCAGAAGCCCAGGAAGTGAGGAGCATGACAGACAGGACCTTCTCTGAGGTGACACCTTTGCAGAATGAGCTGCAGTGGAGGAAAGTTATTATCTTAGGAAAATGGACCAAGAATACAGAGGAGCTCAGGACTTAAGGCTTTGGAATGAAAGACAAAGAACCAGGGAAGGTTAGTGCTCTATCTGATATGTGAGGGGTAAAGATTTGCTCCTAAGATGTAGGCTCTCTATTCACCTCACAGATTGTTTCTTTTGCTGAGAAGAAACTTTTTATTTTTTTTTATTTTATTTTTTTTTATAATTAGAGCACTCTAGAAGGTATGATTTATTCATGTGTTGAATCATTATAATATAAGATGATAAGAAAACCTGGTCTAATTTAAAACCAGCTATAGATAAATTGTGAAATGTACGTATTAGTTTATAAGTTGTCTTATAGAAGAGTTTTGGTATTTTAATTTATTCACAATTACCTACTTTATTTGCAGCTTAAATACATAATGTAATTATATAAGTACAAGAATCAATTTATAAGACATTTCTGAGTTTACTCACAGCTATCCAAACTTTTTAGTTTGAATCCATACCATTTATTCATTCTTGATTTTAATTCTTGTACCAAAGGAGTCTTATTAAGGAAGTTTGGGCCTAATCCCACATGATGGAGATTAGGACCCATTTTTTCTTCTATTAGATGCAGGGTCTCTGGTTTTATTCCTAAGTCCTTGATCCATTTTGAGTTGAGTGTTGTTCATGGTGTCAGATAGGGGTTCAATTTAATTTCGTTGCATATGGATTTCCAGTTTTCCTAGCACCATTTGTTGAAAAGGCTAACTTTTCTCCAGTGCATGTTTTGGGCACCTTTGTCTAATATAAGATAATTGTAATTTTGTGGGTTAGTCTCTGTGTCCTCTATTCTGTACCGTTGTTCTACCAGTCTAAAGATCAGTGATGGGAGGAAGCTGAAACCACAATAAGGGTGAGAGATGAGAATGGAAATTTTAACATAAGATTATGAGGGTCTGAATATAGGTGGTGGAAGCTAAGATAAGAGAACAATGTGGCACTGTGGAAGAGACAAAAAAGTTTGGACCATAGTCACTCAGAAATTCAGAGAAGAAGGGCCAGTAATGGCTGCTGACAATGTTGACGCCATCTTCCTTCCTTCCTGAGAAACAATGGAGAGCTAGGAGAAACAGGAGACAGGGCTTCCTGTCTCAGCCTTAATGGAGCAACCTGATCGAGCTAAGACCCCAAATAACCAATAAACGTACTCTAAGAGTAATCAACACAAGCAGGATATGAGGGGCAACAAAGGACAAGAGAGAAGGATGTGAAGTGAGCATCTTATTTGTGCCAGCTGTTTCTGTATTTTTCAGTGGTGGGAAAATAATAAACACTAAATGTACTTTGCTAGTTGTTCAAAGGAAACAAAGTTTCATTATAAACAGTCATTCATTACTTAATGATCAAAATTATACAATTGGTTGTCTGAAGAAACAAAAGTTAAACATCTATTCTTTCCCCCAGAATAAGTTTAGTCATTTAATGAACTTCCCAAGTTCTTTATTTTCATGGTTGACAAATGAATGTCTGGCCAAATAAGTGACACACTATCTTTATGTTTTATATGCTATATGATCATGTTATTGTACACAAACATTCCCCACATAATCAATGTAAAAATCACATTTATATTTTGCTACAGGGTTTAAAGCATAATTTTACTATTTTAAAATAGTGCAGAGGTTTATTACAACTGTGCATTTGCTTTGATTTTTGGATGTGTTCTGGTGACATATATGGCTTCTTTGTTAAGTCATTGGTTATTAAAGCAATATCCAATTATAACATTGTTCCTGTGGGAAAAATGATTAATTTCACAAACATCAACAATTCTCAGTACTGTGTTGAAAATCCAGAGAAGCCTCTATATTGTGCTAAGTTTTTAATGGAACTATAAAAAATGTTTCAGAATGCTGTTTACATATATTTAAAATAAGCACTTCATATAACAATTCTAACACCTGAAACAATTTTTTGGCCTAATATGATAATAAAATTTGAATGGGGAACTAATTAGAACAATACAGAATTACCATATAGAGAATAGTATTATATGACTAATAAAGAATTATATCTTTATATCTATATCTTTATATATTATATCTATATCTTTATTCCTTTTCTTTCCTCAGTGCTTAAGCATAGATACACATTTGTATTATTCAAGAAAGTTCTTTTCATGACTAAGATTCTCAAGATTCTCAACATAAAAGAAAAACAAATTGTTTTGAAATAACATATTTCATACAAATATCATTTAAAAGTACTCACGGTCTTCATCTGTTTGTACTATGAGTTCTTGACTCTCCTTTCTCCCCTCGGGGTTCATGAGAATGAGCTTCACACTCACATTGGTGTATGGTGACAGGTTAGTGATTGTATGCTGGGGGTGTGAATTATCAGTATCCCAGCTTACTTCTTCTCGTACTTGTTCTTGTCCTCCCACTTGGTAACAGTAGTGGACTGTGAGATTGTAACTATGGCAACGAGTTACATTATACCCAAATGGCTCCCATCGGATGGTGATTTGCCGAGATTTGACCTCTACTACTTCCAGTTTCCTTGGGCCACGCATGGGATCTATTTTTTTAAAAAAGGAAGAAAACATAGGGGGAAAGTATTATAAAAGATCTAGTGGATCCCATATACCCCAGATATATGTACTTATCCAAAACACCTGGTCTCCTCTAGTTCCTGTATAATAAAATCCCTAAATCTTCCCTGGGGATAAGGCTACCCAGAATAAAGACTACAATTCCCATTCTCCTCTGCAGTGGAATGTGGCCATATGCCTAATTTCTGATGAAGGCATGTAAAATGAAACATAAACAAATATTTCTGGGAGATATTCTTAAAAGGAAGGGGCTCACCATTTTTGTTCTGTTTTCCTTCACCCTAGCTAGATTAAGGATATGATGTTTGGATCTCATGCAGCCATCACGGACCATGGAGTACTTTAACATAAAGAATCTTAGCAATGATAAAGCAGGATTCAGGGACCTGTAATTACTTAGCTGTTGTACCAGCCTTGAACTAACTAATTCCAAATTTTTCATTAGGAAAAAATTAGATGTCATCTTACTTAAGCCTTTTTTCCTCTGGGTTTCTAACAGAAAACAAAAAAATCTTAATACTAACTGATAAACACAATGTCTCTTTAAAGTAAACTTATGTAATTGACACAGATACAATTACACAATAGAGCACTAATCTCCGGGATATATAAAGAACTCAAAAAACTTAACACCAAAAACAAATAAACAAACAACAACAACAAAAAAAAACCCCACAAATAACACAATAATTAAATGGGCTAAGGAACTGAATGGACACCTCACAGAGAAGAAATACAATCCTTTGATAAACATTTGAAAAAATGTTCATCATCTCTGGCAATTAGAGAAATGCAAATCAAAACCACTCTAAGATTCCATCTTACTCCAGTCAGAAAGGTAATTATCAAGAATACAAGCAATAATAAGTGTTGCTAAGGATGTGGGGGAAAAGGTACACTCATTCATTGCTGGCAGGAATGGAAGTTGGGGCAATCATATGGAAAGAAGTACGGAGAATCCTCAGACAACCTGGATGAAACCACCATTCGGCCCAGCTATTCCCCTTCTTGGTTTATACCCAAAGGACTTAAAATCAGCATACTACAGTGGTTCAGTCACATGAATGTTTATAGCAGTTCAATTCACAATAGCTAACCAATGGAACCAACCTAGATGCCCTTCAACAGATGAATGGATGAGGAAAATGTGGTACATATATGCAATGGAATATTACTCAGCCTTAAAGAAGAATGAAATTATGTCATTTGCAGGTAAATGGATGGAACTAGAAAATATCATGCTAAGCGAAATAAGCCAATCCTCCCCAAAACAAAGGCTGAATGTTTTCTCTAATAAACACATACTGATCATAGTGGGGGTGGGTGGGTAGTGAAGAACAAAGGAACTCTGGATTGAGCAGAGCGGAGTGAGGGGAGGGGTGGGGCTGTGGGGATGGGAAAGACGGTAGATTGAGATAGACATTATTACCCTATATATGTGTATGATTATGCTACTGGTGTGACTGCACTACTGGTGTGACTCTGCAGCATGTACAGCCAGAGGAATGAGAAGCTGCGCTCCATTTGTGTGTAATGTGTCAAAATACATTCTACTGTCATGTATATCTAATTAGAACAAATTTAAAAAATTAAAAAATAATAAGCATAAAAAAGTTAACTTGTATAATTACAAATATAAGAGTAAAAGCTTTAGAATTCTGCATGAAGTAAAATAATGATGAGAGAGCAGATTTCTGGGATTTCTGGGCAGAATTCCAGGGCTTTCTGCATTTGATTTGCACAGAAGTCCATATAATCAAGCTAAGGTAGTTCCTGCCTACTCATGACAATGTCTCCGTATTCTTCATTAAACAAAGATCTAAGTACAGTTTCAACCTTAGAAATCTAAATAAAAAGCAAGAAATATGCACAATTTGAACAGTTCAAATTACAATATACATAGAGAAATCTTAAGCATGTTTATGAAATAATGATAAAATGCAGTAAGACTAAATACAGGACATTTATCGAGCACTTTGTCCAATGCACTGCTCCAGGAAGTTCACCATTCGGGGGTTTGGGGAATGCCTAATTTAGAATGTTCTGCTTTGGCATTATACATTTGATAATTTTAATTTTTTTCTGAAGTACTGTCACTATTTATGAATGTAAAGAAATTAATAGTTAGTAAGGGAACTATACATAGAAATTTGAGAAATCATAATTACCATTTCCTGTGAATCTACTACATGTGAGCTGCTTTACATATACATATTTTCATTCCCTCAAAACATTCCAGTAGATTGAATACTTTTATGCCCAATATACTGATGCAAAACTTGTGGCCAAGGTAGGCTCAATAACTTGAGCAGGGTCAAGGAACTGTGGTACTCAGATTTAGATGTAAAATTGAAACATTGTGCTGCTTCCTCTCTACTGTTGAATCTCTACTAAAGAAAATTCCTCCCTCACCCCATCTCTCTCTCTCTCTCTCTCTCTCTCTCTCTCTCTCTCTCTCACACACACACACACACACACACACACAAGAAATTAGGATATCAAAGATACTTAAACATAACCAAAGAATATAAAATGTGATCAAGATTCAGTGCATTTAATTTTGACACAAAAGTGCTGGGAAGAATTCTCCTTTCCCTCATTTCACAGAAGAGGAGGTCATAGCCATGGTCCCCAGCTCAGCTATACCAGGCAGAGCACTAGAAATGTGTCTGAATATTACTGAGGGTTCACTTCTAATCTCCATTTGTGCCTATCCCTTGGGTGTCTGTTCTGTTTAGGACCTTGAGAGAACTCAAAACCATCCTTTTACCTAGCACCTCCAATCCATGAAAATGTTGAAAGTGAAATAATATTTTGATTTAATATACGAAAATTGGGATTTATCTGCCAGATATCTGCTCAAAACATGAAATAAGGTTAATACTGATCATTCATGCTGCTCTTGCCCAATAACTTCAGGGACCATGGACAAGAGAGATGAAAATTGCTCCAAGAAATCTTGAGTGACAGTCTTATGGAATGTTCGTTATTGCCAAATTAATTTTTTATATTTAAATTACCAGTGTTAAGGAAAATATCATAAATAAGTTATTTAGAAATAACACTGAAGATTTCTTCCAGATTAGTGAGTTCTTATGGTTTAAAAGAAATGTCTAATTTTATTTAATGCTTCATTAGCTGAATGTTTACAAAAACTTTTAATAAGCTCCAGATCCCTTATACATAAACAGATTAACATGTGTCTCTTTGCCCTTTCCCTTATTAATCACTGGTCTCCGCAAGAACTGTTCTAAAGCATTTCCCCAAGGTTTTCATCAATTTTACTTACTTAATAAAATGACTAAAAGCTTCAGATATTAGCTTAAACAAGCAGTGAAGTTCTAACTTAATTTCAGTAGAAAACAACTTCCCACTTCATAAATTAGTCTGCATAAATTCAGCATTCCTTGGCCCAGAAAATACACACTTAAATTAAACCCCTAGATTAAAAATAAATGGTTCTATCTACTTAGTCAAGTTTACTTGAAACTCTTTGTTAGTATCTTTGGGTTTTTTTTTTTTTTGGTAGTCAAGATTAAACCCAGGGGTGCTTTACCATTGAGCTACATCCCCAGCCCTTTTTAATATTTTATTTAGAGACAGTGCCTTGCAGACTTGCTGAGATCTCTTGATCCTCCTGCCTCAGCCTCCCAAGCAGGTGGGGCATGGGTGTGCACCACTGCACCCAGCTTTTCTTAGTATCTTTTAAAATTCCACCACAATAAAAATAAATCTTGAGCTTTCCTACACTTGTCAAGTAGCATAGCCTAGCACACACACAAAAAAAAAACCATCTCCATGACCAAGTCTCCCATGTCACTATTGTCATGGGTGGTAATTAACAGACTAAGGACAGTGGATGTCTGAGGTCTAAATCCTTGTTTAAGAGTTACACTCACTCACAGGCATATGCAAGTTCCAGATTAGCCCAAACAAAATAATCCTGTAGATGCATTTGCACAGTACAGATTGTCCCCAATCTAAGATGGATTAACTCATGATCTTTCAACTTTACAACAGTGTGAAAAAGAAACCATACTTCAAATTTTGAATTTCAAACTTTCCCCAGGCTTCCAACATTTAGTGCCATTTTCTCCTAAGATCCAGGGCAGCAGCAGCAAGCCACAGTTCCCCGTCACCCCTGTGATCAAGAGGGAAAAGAAAATGGCACTCTGTGGTGCTCTGCATGGCTAAATGGCAATGCTTTGCAGCTTAGGGTGATTAATGCAATTTTTACTTAGATATTTTCAACTTACGATGAGTTTCAGAGGATATAACTCCATCATAAGTAGAAAAGTATACAGGGCAGAGTCAGTATCAACAGAAACAAGAATGAATCACACCAGCAGGCTGTAGGGATGAGGACCACTTTGATTCCTAAACACTTACCACACTTGTCAAAAGCTTGAGAAAATACAAATCAACACATGGTACAGGTGATATGTCCCCCTCGGGTGAGTACTGCCAATTTCCCTTGCCAGGACACAAAGGCAAAATCAAGTGAGTGGGGGAAATCCGCTAATTGAAAAAAGATACACAGATTGGAGGTATAGCTCAGTGGTAAAATATATGCATGAGCCCTGGAATACAATCCCCAGCATCCAAATAAATCCATAAATCCATAAATAAAACAGGTACATCCAAGAACACAAATGGAACCTATGTGCTATTATCATGTACCTGTGTAGCACTCCTTTAATGACAAGGTTGATTGGCTGAGTCAAGTGACAGTCCTATCAACTCACCCTAAGCATCCATTATTTTTCTTTGCCTCTGCCATTCTGCAAAAATTTAGTTCCATACAGCAAAAGATTTATAACAATTGCATGTGAAGTTAGCATTTTACAGAAGCTTTATTTTCAATGTTTCTGTGGAACCATTTCTATTAAAGTGCTTCTCACTGCGAATGAGCCATTCCATAGGGACATTTTCAATAGGGAGCTATATTGATGATCACTGAATACTT